TCCGTGTTGATCAAAAAATTTTTATTAGTGAGTGACACTTGACCCCCTGTAGATCCGCAATGTCCTGCGACTGTTATGGGCCGATTTGCAGAATTGAAACCAAATAAGGTCATCGTACGACACAATTCTCTGGCTTTGATTGGTTGACAGGGACAATGTCGTTAAAGTTTACCCTTGTTAAAAGCAAAACACTAAGTAAAAACCCATTGGATTTGGAAAAACCCATTGGATTCTAATAGTAAGAAAAAATAATAACATCGCAATTACAATTTAAAATTTTACTAAATAACTTTATCAAATAGTTATATTTTTCATAGAATAACAAAGAAAACTTAAAATGCGAGTTTATTATTGTAGGCATCAGCTGCAAATACTAGAAAACTTAAAACGTGAGTTTATTATTGTAAGCATCAGCTGCATAGTTTTCCAAATACTAAACAACCAATAACTTCAATTATATTAATAATAGTAAAGAGTTTTCTTTCTAAAAAATGGTGATTAAAAAATTTATTTGGATATTAGTAACTATTTTTTTTATTTATTAAATAATAATTATTTTCTCCTGTTAGCATGTCAACATTTCCTTACACTCCACTATTATGCATCTCTCTATACCTCCTCCTTCATCAAATACTTGCTTTTTATGTTCTATTTGTGGAAAAAAATTTAAAAGCTCACATGGTTTAATGCAACACAATAGAATAATACAACAATATAATCAATGTCAAGATATTGATAGATTGCCAACTAATATTATTGCAGAATTTAAAGAGATCTTGATTATGGAAATACACAAAAAATTGGTTTTAAATTTTAGGTATATGAGAAAGAAATTAGTATCTGTACCATGTCCCGAGAGTCTTTTTTTTCTATTTTTGCTGGGAATATTCATTATTATTCTAGAACAAAAGGGAATTATAAGTGTATTTTTCAGGGTGAAAAAGCATATGAGATTATAAGTGAAATTTTGAATTCTAATCAATGGGGAAAAAAGTATATTCACAAAATCAAGAAACATATGTTGTTTGCTTAGATCCTGTTCCGTGGAATCCTTCTACCTCACATAATCAATCAGAAGAAGAAGTACATCCTCTTGAACAATTAATTTATCAACAACAATCTTTAATTAAAAAACAAGCTAGGCAGCCACAATTTTTATGTGGTGAAAATTTAATAGAATGGAAAAAATGTATATTAAATGAAGTTGATAAAAATATATGTATAGCAGGATATATATATTTTCATTTTTATATTTCACAATCTTTTATGTAGAAGGTTTAATTGTAAATTTAATAAAAAATAATAAAA